TATATCGATATTTACACCTATGGAAAAAGAATTGTAACATTGTCTATAAAGTTTATCACATAATTATCATGCACGGTATCAAAAAACAAGTTTTTCTAAATATCGTGCTAAATGCAATCCTCTAACAGTTTTATTGTGTATTAGCGCCAAATTGTTTTCATACGAACACAATGCATATGCATTTGTATCGATTGACAGTACATAAGAATCAAAGTTACAACAATGAATACAATGTGCTTGTGGATCATTGATCAACCATAGATTTTTATGTTCGTTGAATATTATTGTTAACGGATGTTTTGCATCTAATAATTCAAATGAATTTAAATATGTCAAATCAAAATTCAAAAACACTATCGTATACGTTGGCACTTCTCGTTGAACGGCTAAAATGAGATAAAAACGACAGTGAAATTCTCAAAAATCTTTAAGTGTGAAAATTCATCGCCGATGTTAGCTTTCGGAAGCAAAATATGCATTAATGGACTCGGAATTATCTCTGTTGAAAAAGATACTTATTTTTCACAAGCTTACCACAGTTGTTCTCAGAAACCTTAGTTCGTTGTTGTTTTGTGCGGGTTAATAAAATCAAATGATCGTGATTGACTGTAAAATGTTGAAATTGTTCAACCTCTGGATGCAGGAAAGTTAGATCCATCGGTACGAAGTCAAGTTCATATGTTTGTAGTGATCGTTTGGCCAACATGACAATGTTGGATACATTTCGATACATATAGTAAATAAAATCATCATAAATACAACCCGACAATAACTCACGAATATCATCATCTTGCTCGTCAGGATGAGACAACGTTAAAGATATATTATCGACGACATTACCTTGATCACGTTGATCATATAACAGTAAATTCAGTTGTTTTGTAAACAGACAAAATAGCTTTCGATTCAATGAATAATCTAAAAATAAGAAAAGTGAAGATAGACTTGAAATGTCGTTATAGACTGCACCATCCATGTCATTTGTCTAAATATAATTCTACTTACCTAATGATACGATAGTTTCTGTCGATTCCCAAATCAAGCGAGAAACACAGCGTGATTGAATATCGATGCTGTCCAATATATTATTATTCGATACCACTAACAGTATATTTTGTTTGTCGTACGCCATTAAAAAACGAGAATGATTATTACGTGCATGATGATCAAAAGAAATATCAAATATTATTTCTAACATATCAGCTTGATTCACTTGGCAAGTATACTTATTCTCGGAAGTGCGTGAACTGGTACGAGATGAAGAACGATGACGATGCTTATAATTGTTATTTTTATTATGTTGGTGAGATGGAGTTGTAGATACACATCGTTTTGAAGGATATGTAGAAAGAATTACGTCATTTTTACTCGATTGACGCAAACAGAATGGATCAGCTGTTGTCCGAAGATATGATGATGATGAACGCTCTGTACAATCATTTGTTCTCGAAGATAACACAACGTTACTAGAATTTGAACAAAAAATCAGCATCAGAAACAAAGATCTATATTTTCTTCTCCGGCTATATGTATTAGCATCGCCATACATGAATCAACACATTGCGAGAAGGCGATATCTTTCTCGCACTATATGCATTAACCTTTTTTTTTACTGGAACTGAGTTATTCGACGAAGCTTTATAGAGTCTTTCTCCTTCAAATTTTATGGTACTGGTAGCGAAAATTTCGTTTAATAACAGATACCAATCAGTGCGATGGAAGAAACCAGCGCTTACTCGAATCTTTCACTTGTCGAAGAGACTGTGGCCGATACTGATGAAATCGTTGGACACTGTTCTGATATGGTTCCAGCAGAACCGTTTTTTTTTGTGATTAAATGTAAAACACTGGTACTAAAAGTAAAACAAATCAGTGTTCCACAATAGGATGAGGATTTTTGTAATTTAAAAGAAATTTTCAGATCGTCTGCCAAAATTCAGAATTTGTCTCCTAACTGGAAATAATCGCAAATCCTGGCTATATCAAAGCACATTTTCATAATCCAACCTCGATGAGAGCGAAAGTGCCATTTCATTAGTATTTCTCTTCTTCGAGCTTCCAGTAGCTTCAGCTATCCAGTTTAAACAGAAGTCACCTATTCTGATGTACCGCTCAAAAATAGACTGATATTAGAAGAGAAGGGACTTACTGTTTCTTATCATTATCATCATCATAAAATATACTGCTTGGTCCAAATGTTAATTCTTCTTTGCGCTTAACTGTGTCTTCATTGGTATTTTCTTTAACAATTTTCGTTTCATTTATAACATTTATCATTCCATTCGTGGTTGTCGTCTGCTCTTCTTGCCTTCCATATGAAAAATAGTCATTTAAATTCAATTCTTTCATAACTAATATTGGAATATCCTTAATTACTTGTGGACGATAGTGGAAATTGCCTGCAAATTCTTTCCAGACTACCAGTGCTTGTTTATACTGTTTTTGTTTCCAAAGACAAGTTACCTGTTTACTTATTTTATTGTACCTTTCATTATTCTCATGCACTGTTTCGGCGTTTTTAAGTGACAAATCTTTTAATATACTAGTAATTTGTTTTTCTGTACGTTGAGCTTGCTCAACGATACTATTTGCCCATTTGACAACTTGCACATGAGTTGAATGAATCTGCTGTTCACATTGAACTTGATCATCATCCAATTGTTGGCCAAATGATGCTAAGTTTTGGTCAAGAAAAACTTTTAATTTTCCATATGGATCACGTAAGAGAGCATCGTCATTATCATCATCATCAATCGAATTCATTCTCAAGTATTCAAATCTTGCACAAAAAACAAATGATTCAGGAGTGAATTGAAAATAAGCGAAGAGCTGGGCGTGGTAACTTTTCTTGAAGGGTAGTAGTTAGTTTTTTTTATGTAGGTGCTTTTATCTAAGTTTGTAGTAAAT